GGTGAGGGAGGGAGGGGAGGAAGGACCCTGGGAAGGCCAGAGACAAGGTATCGGGAGTGCATGGCACGAAGTCGCTGCACAGACGGGTGGCCAAGGCGGTGGTGCCAGAGGACAGTCTCGTGTGCCAGAGAGCGACACGACCAGGGGGCCAACAGCTGACCTGACGCGGACGCAGACGCAGACGCAGCGACCTGAGGGGACTCAGTGGTCAGTGTGTACAAGTCCGACCCCGGCTGCCGAGTGAAGGTAGCCAAGTGACGGCCCGTACGAGCACACGTGCAGTGTGTCACTCACTCGTAGGCAGGGGTGAACTGGTGAACACCCCCGTCCTGGAGCGCACATCCTGCCACCAGGTTCGTAGAGAACGAGGGAAGGTGGAGACCTGATAGTGTGCCCGACGGGACCGCAGGACAGGGGAGGACAGTGGAGGAGGTCGCAATGACCGGACCCCCAGAGGGGTCAGCGAGGGAGACAGCAACTGGCCGAGCAAGCGGCTCAAGGGCAGTGCGGTCACGAAAGAAGCAGCGAGAAGCACCTGAGTCCAGTGTGAAGGTGTGCAGTGCTGCAGTCGACTCAGTACCAAGGGGGGCAGACGCACAAGCACCTAGAGCAGCTGCCTCACCAGCACCTGGGCTAGCAGACACGCGAGTACCTGGAGCGGCAGACGCACTAGTCCTAATGCCCGAGTCGGGCGGCACACACAGGTACTCAGCACCCTCTTCACTAGTAGACATCACATACATAGCAGTGAGAATAGCATCAAAGTCTAGAGCATAGATATCAATCCCCTTCTTCAGGAGATCAACCCAGCGGGGCAGCTCAGTGGCCTGAGGGAACTGAACATGCCAAGCATCGTTGAGACGAGCGAAGCAGCGCTGTGTGGCGTGCGGTCCCCCACACAGCTGACCAGTGCGGTCACCAGTGCGAATGACGTACGTGCAGCTAAAGCCACCCCCCCCCCCCCCGTGCTGAGAGTACCACTCACGGACCTCCTGGGGCGACAGAGTGTGCTGCTGGCCCTGGCCACCGCCAGCGCCTCCACGACCACCACCGCCGCCGCTACCTCCTCGACCACCCCAACCCCTGCCGCCGACGCGTCCACCGCCACCCCCACCACCGCCTCCGCCCCTGCCACCTCCCTCGCCGCTGCCGCCACCACCCTCACCGCTGCCACTAGCCCCTCCAGTCGCGCCACCACCCCCACTGCCGCCACCGCCCCCACCACCGCCTCCCCCGCCGTCACCGCCACCGCCCTTGCCCCCTTTGCCCTTGCCGCTGCGGCGCCCGCTCGAAGCAGACGCTGTCCCGACCTTCTCATCACCAAGGAGGTCGACACCAGCAGCAGAGGCGACAGAGGGAAGAAGGGGGGAAGGAGAACACCCCTCAAAGAACGGGGTATGGGGATCGCCACGAGAGGCACCTACAGCGACTATGCTAGCCTCAACTGCAAGGAGTTCCTTCTCGAGGAGGGCAATGGTGAGCTCAGTGGGGCAGCGAGCTAGGAAGTGGTCCCTGACTCAGCGCAGAGTGTCAGGGAGGCGGGTGACTAGGTGGTAGAGAGTGAGCCAGAGCGGGGGTGGGTTCTTGGCAAGGAACTCATCAGGCATAGCGGCGCGGAAGCGAGCCTCACTAGTGCGGAGGTGCGTAATGAGGTCAGCGACTATGTGGAAAGAGGCTAAGTCGGGGAACAGGTAGGGAAGAGAGACACGGCCTAGTGCGGCAGAGGCCGGTGAGGAGTAGCGGGCAACGACAGCAGTGTACAGTGCCTGTGCAGTCTTATGCTGCCCAAAGTGCTCGCGCTCATCTATCGGCAGGGAGTTGCGAATAGCAAAGCGAGCGTGGGCGTCACGAGTCTGCCACTGTGAGCGGGCAGTGCTATCAGCAGTAGCAGCAGGGGCAGTGACATGGCCTAGGGCGTGGTCGTACAGTGAGATGTCGTCCTTGGCAGTGAGCTGTAGATAGAGGTGCAGGTCATCTAGCCAGGTGTCAAACTTCACTGGGCGGCCCTCAGCATCGAAAGCTAGCACAGGTGGGCTAGCCATAGGAGCAGTAGGAGCAGCAGTAGGAGTAGGAGGGTGAGATAGGTAGGGCGGCTCGGATAGTACGCGCGGCGCGGTTCAGTTCAGGTAGGGCGGCGCGGCTCGGGTAGGGCGGCACGGTTCAGTTCGGGTCGCGCGGCTCGGCTCGGACTGGGCGGCTCGGTTCGGGTCGCGCGGCTCGGCTCGGTCCTGGAGGGGCTGTGGCGGTCACGGGCCGTTCGGGGCCTCTAGGGGCGAGCGCGGGGCCGTTCAGGGCCTCTAGGGGCGAGCGCGGGGCCGTAAGGGGCCACTAAGGGCGAGCGCGGGGCCGTTCGGGGCCTGTAGGGGCGAGCGCGGGGCCGTAAGGGGCCACTAGGGGCGAGCGTGGGGGCCGTTCGGGGCCTCTAGGGGCGAGCGCGGGGCCGTAAAGGGCCTCTAGGGGCAATCGCGGGGCCGTTCCGGGCCTCTAAGGGCGAGTGCGGGGCCGTAAGGGGCCTCTAGGGGCGAGTGCGGGGCCGAGGGGGGCCTCTAGGGAGGTGAGCGCGGGGCCGACGGGGCCGTTAGGGGCGATCGCGGGGCCGACGGGGTCGCTAAGGGGCGAGCGCGGGGCCGTAAGGGGCGAGCGCGTGGGCCGACGGGGCCTTAAGGGGCGGCGCGCAGGTCGCTAAGGGGCGGGTCGCGGGGCCTTCGGGGGCCGTGAAGAACGAGGCGCCCTAGGGCGCAGTTAGATAGGTAGGTAGGTAGGTAGTGGTGGGCCCTAAAAAAACGGTCCTAGCGAAGGACCTGCTCTATACCATGTTAGAATGAACGAACAGGAAAATGATTGAACTAAGAGTGAAATCAGTACAAGTACCTAACCCTAGAATTGTGTACCCCCTATAGGCTAACCCATTGTAGCATAAACAAGCACAACATATATAATGTTTGACAGAGGAGTGTAACGCATCACCTACCTACCCTAGCGACTATTCTAGCTAAGGCTCTCTAAAGCGCTACCTACGCAAGGTAGCGACTTACGGGAAGAAAGGGTTGGAAGGGATGATTGTTGATTGGTCCAAAATTGTGAATCACCACCCACTAAAAGACAAACAAGGTTGGGAACCAACCCAACATTTGCATTCGTGGACATTCAAACCAGTAACATTTCAATGCTGCTGTTACAAGTTACAACAGGTAACCAGACAATTCTTATCACAAATAAGTTGCTCTCATTGGTTGCAAATCCAACCAACATGCCACCTAAGCAAACTCACCTTAAGGAGCTCCTTGCCCTTGTTGCCATGGATGAGGTAGAGCTTCCCAAGGGGTATTGAGGAAGGGGTTTGGAGCTCCAAGGCTCATTCTCTCATTCCCAACTCCAATTGATCAATTTTGGAAATGGGATTTCTCTAAGTACATAACTTTTCCCTCACAAGTGCTCTAAGCTCCAACTATCCCTTTGGTGGAAGCTACTCTATCACTCTCCAAGCTTCAACTACCAAGTCTAGAAGACTCAAAGCTATCTTAGGAGCTAGTTTACCTTGTGTGTTTTATTGTTGGCGTTTTTATAAGCCTACTAGTGACCCTTTTTGTGGGCATTCATTTATAAGCCTGGGTCTTTATTGTGCTTTTAAGGGCGTTTCTCTATAAGCCCGTGTTACATGGAAAGTGTGGCTGCACTAGAAGTCACTGCAAAACTGATTCAATTCGACTGTCATGCCAGTACTACTAGCAACGCCACCTTCTCTAACAAGCTACTAGCACGTGCGGCTCTCCTCGTCCCCCTCACCTTGAGTCTTCGCGTTCCACCCATCCACGCGCAGCACGCCTCGCCTTGAGCCCGCGATCTAGCCGCCCAGCCCGTGATTTAGCTGCCCAGCTCGCGATAAAGCCGTTCAGCCCGCGATCTAGCTGCCTAGCCAGCGGTTTTTGCCGCCAAGCCCGCGATTTAGCCGCCAAGTCCGAGATCTAGCCGCCAAGCCCGCGATCTAGCCGCTGAGCAGGTATTTAGCCGACCAGCCCGCAATCTTGCCGCAAGGCCAGCGATTAGGCCGCCCGGCGTGCAGCTAGGCAGCGATATCTGCGTACTGCAGGCTTATTTCACGAACTGGCAGCAGAATCCGCACCACAGCAGCGAAATCGGCGCCATAGCAGCGACTTCCGCGCCACAGCAGCGAAATCCGTGCCACAGGAACGGAATCCACGCCACAGCAGCGAAATTTGCGCCACAGCAGCGAAATCCACGCCACAGCAGGCAAAATCCGCGCCACAGCAGCGAAATCCGCGCCACAGCAGGCAAAATCTGCGCCACAGCAGCGAAATCCGCGCCATAGTGGCGACATCCGCGCCGCGGCGGCGAAATTCGTGCCACAGCGGTGAAATCCGCGCCATAGCAGCAGAATCCGCGACACAGCTGCGAAAGCCGCGCCACTGACCAGCCGCGCACGAAATGCGCCGACCAGCCGCGCAACACTGACGACATCTGCGTAACCAGCACGTACGCAGAGGGGACAAGCACCGAGACTGCCCGCGCCCGCGCTTGCGCCTGCGCCCGCGCCTCCCCCTGCGCCTGCGCCCGCCGAGCAAGCGCGCCAATTGGAGGGAGCTCTCTCGCTCGCTACCCGCGCGGGTGCGCCGTCTCCCCCACCGCGGTTTCCCCCGCGCCTTGCTCCACGCGCGCGGGGTTGGGCGCGCCCGTGGTGGTGGGGGCAATGGTGTTGGACGAGGGAGCGGGCGTGGAGAGGGCGCTGGAACGAGGCACCACCACGCCAGGACAGGTACACGTGCTCCGCGCCCCTGCGCTCTGCGCTCTGCCCCCTGCGCCCTGCCCCCTCCGTCCCCTGCGCTCTGCCCCCTGCGCTCCACCCCCTGCGTTCTGCCCCCTGAGCTCTGCGCTCTGCGCCCTATTCTCTGCGCCCTATGCACTGCGCCCTATGCACTGCGCCCAATGCTCTGCGCCCTATGCTCTGCGCCCTGTGCTCTGCGCCCTATACACTGCGCCCTATGCACTGCGCCCTATGCTCTGCGCCCTATGCTCTGCGCCCTATGCACTGCGCCCTATGCTCTGCGCCCTATGCTCTGCGCCCTATGCTCTGCGCCCTATGCTCTGCGCCCTATGCTCTGCGCACTGTGCTCTGCGCACTGTGCTCTGCGCACTGTGCTCTGCGCACTGTACTCTGGGCACTGTGCTCTGCGCACTGTGCTCTGGGCACTGTGCTCTGCGCACTGTGCTCTGGGCACTGTGCTCTGGGCACTGTGCTCTGCGCACTGTGCTCTGCGCACTGTGCTCTGCGCATTGTGCTCTGCGGACTGTGCTCTGCGCACTGTGCTCTGCGCACTGTGCTCTGCGCACTGTGCTCTGCGCACTGTGCTCTGGGCACTGTGCTCTGCGCACTGTGCTCTGCGCACTGTGCTCTGGGCACTGTGCTCTGCGCACTGTGCTCTGCGCACTGTGCTCTGGGCACTGTGCTCTGCGCACTGTGCTCTGCGCACTGTGCTCTGCGCACTGTGCTCTGCGCACTGTGCTCTGCGCACTGTGCTCTGCGCACTGTGCTCTGGGCACTGTGCTCTGCGCACTGTGCTCTGCGCACTGTGCTCTGGGCACTGTGCTCTGCGCACTGTGCTCTGCGCACTGTGCTCTGCGCACTGTGCTCTGCACACTGTGCTCTGCGTACTGTGCTCTGCGCACTGTGCTCTGGTTCCTATTCCCCTTCTCGCCAAGCCTCCACCCGCCCCCGCCCTTTCCAACCCCTACCCCTCATGGTTGTCCTCTTCCTCCCTTTCCCCCACCCGTTTTTTTCCTCCCGCATGAGGCAGGGAGGGAGGGCAGGAAAAAGGAATTCGAGGGGGGAGTGTTGTCCACTGCTGCATGTCTCAACCCCTCATGTGTGTCTCACCCCTCCCCCTCTCCCCCTCCTCATTCCTTTCTCTCTGACGGCCGCGCCCTTCCCATGTTTCTCCTCTCCCCCTCTTTGCTCTGTTTCTCGTCTCTTCCTAACCACTTTTCCCTGCTCCCCCCACCTGCCTACCTGATTTCCATATCTTCCCTCTCCCCTTTCCCCTCACCTCCAACCCCTTACGTGCTCCTCCTGCCACCTCAGCTGACATGCTTCCCCTTTCCCTTCCCCCTCTTCCCCCTCCTCTTCCCTATCTCCCCTGTTTGACTATTTTCTTGTTCCCCCTCCCCATATTCCCTCCCTCTCCCTGGCTATTGCAGTGACTACGCTGAAGTCTTTTTCTGGTACTGCAACTCGCCTCAGCCCATCATCCCATGCCATGCTCGTAGAGAAACCAGTTCCCCTCATGTTTTTTTCAATGCCTTGAGAAAGGTACAATCAAAAGCAGTAGGGTGATGCCTCTATGTACGGTACCCTTCTGACACTCTTCGTGTCATTGCATCTTGGAAGAAAATCTTGCACTGCAGAAACAAAAGTACATATTGTGCTTCTGGGATGGATATCTCCAACAGTGTTCTCATATCATGCTTGCATACAACAGACAAGAAACAGGCAGTGGTACGGTGTAAAGCATCGACTAGCTACGCCTCGGCTTGTTCCTTTGCTTCACCACTGAAAATTAAGGGAGTGGTGTAGGCAGAAAGAATTTTGTGAAGAAACACGGGGGAGGTGGTGTGAGGTGCAAGGGAACAACCGCAAGGGGATACAACAAGCAGAGGCACATGATGAAAGCATGTATGGGGTGACAGTGATGGGTGCACATGAAAAGGAGTGAGGGGGAAGGGGAGGGCATGAAAAAGAAGGAAAGGGTTGAGAAGGGATGGGGAAGGGAAGGGTAGGGCAGGGAGGGAAAGGCAGGGATTGAGAGGGCAGGCAGGGAACAGGGCAGAGGGTGGGGGGAAGGTGAGTGAGAGTGCGAGAGGACGAGTGAGAGAGTGCGAGAGGACTGAGAGTGAGAGAGAGAGTGAGAGGAAGGAGAGTGAGAGTGCGGAAGGAAGGAGAGAGAGAGGAAGGACACCTGGGCAGGGAGTGGAAGGACGCATGGAGAGGGAAATTATGGGGGAAAGCAGGGAAGGGGATGGGGGAAGGGGATGGGGGGAAGAGGATGGGGGGAAGCAGGGAAGCATGGCCGAAGGAGGAACGAAGCAGGGCGGAGGGAGGGGGGAAGCAGGGGGGTTGGAGGGGGGAAGCAGGGAGGAGGGAGGGGGGAAGCAGGTGAGGCAAAGGAGAATAGATTGGGGGGTGAACAGAGCTGGTGGGAGAAAGGGAGGATGGTCAAAATAAAGAGGGGCGTAAACAATTAGGGGGAAGTGAGGTCGATGGGGAGAGGGAGTGAGGGAAGTACCCGCTCTCACCCTCTGTCTCTCCCCCTCGGCCCTTCCCCCTCTGTCTCTCCCCATTTGTCCTTCCCCCTCTGTCTCTCCCCATTTGTCCTTCCCCCTCTGTCTCCCCCCATTTGTCCTTCCCCCTCTGTCTCTCCCCATTTGTCCTTCCCCCTCTGTCTCTCCCCCTCTGTCCCCCCCCCTATTCCTCGCCGCCTGTTCTGTATCTCCCCCTCTGTCCTTCCCCCTCTCCCCCTTCTCCTTCCCCTTCTGTCCTTCTCATCTCCCCCGCCCGTTCCCTTCCTGTTCCCCGCCCATCAATCATTCTTTCACCGTGACACCATCCCCCCCTCAGCTGTCCATCCCCCTCTGTCTCTCCCGCTCTGCCCCTCACATCAGTATGGAAGGAGTTGCTGCGGCTGGAAGGAGCGAGGGCGTATGGGGGAGTTGCTACACACAATGGTGTCGATGGCGACGTGGGTAGGGGTTGGCGATAAGGACAAACGCTTCCCAATTGGAGTGGCGGAGGGGAAGCGCGCGTGACGAGGGGAGGATAGTGCTTAACGATAGGGAACGCGCGTGGCGAGGGGAGGAAATCGTGCGACGAGCAGAAAGCGCGCGTGATGAGAAGGCACCTGGTGCGTGACTCTCACCTCTATGAGGGCGGGGGGAAACAGGGCGGAGGGAGGGGGGAAGCAGGGGGGATGGAGGGGGGAAGTAGGGCGGAGGGAGGGGGGAAGCAGGGCGGAGGGAGGGGGGAAGCAAGGCGCAGGGGGGGGGAAGCAGGGCGGAGGGAGGGGGGAAGCAGGGCATAGGGAGGGGGGAAGCAGGGTATAGGGAGGGGGAAGCAGGGCGGAGGGAGGGGGGAAGCAGGGTGGAGGGAGGGGGAAAGCAGGGCGGAGGGAGGGGGGAAGCAAGGCGGAGGGATGAGGGGAGCATGACAGAAGGAGGGGGGAAGGAGGGCGGAGGGAGGGGGAAGGAGGGCGGATGGAGGGGGGCAGCAGGGCCTAGGGAGGGGGGAAGCAGGGGGGATGGAGGGGGGAAGCAGGGCGGAGAGAGGGGGAAAGCAGGGCGGAGGTAGGGGCGAAGCAGGGGGGATGGAGGGGGGAAGCAGGGCGGAGGTAGGGGCGAAGCAGGGGGGATGGAGGGGGGAAGCAGGGCCCAGGGAGGGGGGAAGCAGGGAGGAGGGAGGAGGGAGGAGGGAGGGGGGAAGCAGGGTGGAGGGAGGGGGGAAGCAGGGCGGAGGGAGGGGGGAAGCAAGGCGGAGGGATGAGGGGAGCATGACAGAAGGAGGGGGGAAGGAGGGCGGAGGGAGGGGGAAGGAGGGCGGATGGAGGGGGGCAGCAGGGCCTAGGGAGGGGGGAAGCAGGGGGGATGGAGGGGGGAAGCAGGGCGGAGAGAGGGGGAAAGCAGGGCGGAGGTAGGGGCGAAGCAGGGGGGATGGAGGGGGGAAGCAGGGCGGAGGTAGGGGCGAAGCAGGGGGGATGGAGGGGGGAAGCAGGGCCCAGGGAGGGGGGAAGCAGGGAGGAGGGAGGAGGGAGGAGGGAGGAGGGAGGGGGGAAGCAGGTGAGGCAAAGAACAATAGATTGCGACTGAATGATTGAGCTGGTGACGAGGGAAGGAGTGCGCGTCACGAGGGGAAACGCGCGTGACAAGGGGAGGAGAGCGCGCATCGAGCGGAAGAGCGCGTGACGAGAAGGCGCGTGCGCGACGAGCGGAAACGCGCGCGACGAAGGGAAACGCATGACGAGGGGAAGCACGGAATCGCAGGCAAGCGAGTGACGAGGGCCAACGCGAGTGACGAGGGCTAACGCGAGTGACGAGGGTTAACGCGAGTGACGAGGGCAGGCGCGAGTGACGAGGGCGGACGCGAGTGATGAGGGCGGGCGCGGGTGGCGAGGGGGAGCGCGGGTGACGACGAGCGCTAAACGAGGGCCTAAGCATGGTGAAGCTGTCGTTTGCACCAAACGTTCCGTGTGAGTAACGCGACAACGTTTGTAAATATCGGGTGACACTAGGCTTGTGCTGCCCAGCTATTGGCGAGACAGCATGTGTGCCTTGGGAGTTGCTGTAAAAATCGCGGTCCCTAGAACTAGGTGAAGGCGCACTGGCTGTCTACTTACAAGAGGAAGTAGGCCGATCATGAGTATGACTGTTCAAGATATGTGAGAGCCAAACGGTGGGCCAACCTGAGCGACGTTCGGTTCTGTTTTGCGACTGTGCTCAAAAGCCAATGAAGAGAGTGTCGTTAAAGCCCGAGTACCACATGGCTTTTTTCAAGTTCAAGATTCCTGAAAATGAACTCGCAAAAAACCAAGTTACCAGTCGAAGTTGAGCTTTCTCGCTACCTAGTGCTCTGTGATTGGCCAGCGACACTCAAAGCCCGCTCGAGGTGTGGCTCGGGAGGCAAAGCAGCACTGTTCACCAGAAGTGAACTTGAAAACCATCTGGTACTAATTGTCAAGCATACACAAACACACTCGTTTTTCACGCAAAACACGCTGTTTTTGCACACAGCTCACGTATGAACACGCGTCAAATGCTCCGCCATGCGCTCCCGGGATGCAGCGCTAGGTAGCTCGACCCTTAGGTTCCACCATTCGCGGTCGCTTGCCCGCGACATCACGGTTCTCGCTCTCTCGTACGTCGTTTCCTCGCGTAGTCCGCGATCGCGCTCCCCTTCTGTTCGCCCGCCCATCCGCAAGTCGCTCCCGTCACCCTACCTTCCGCCCGTCACCGTCCCTTCCGCCCGTCACCCTCCCTTCCGCACGCCGCTCTCCCTTCCGCACGCCGCTCTCCCTTCCGCACGCCGCTCTCCCTTCCGCACGCCGCTCTCCCTTCCGCACGCCGCTCTCCCTTCCGCCCGTCGCCCACCCTTCCGCCCATCGGACTCTCTTCCGCACGCCGCTCTCCCTTCCGCCCGTCGCCCTCCCTTCCGCCCATCGGACTCTCTTCCGTCCGTCTCTCTCCCTTTCGTACGCCGCTCTCCCTCCCGCCCGTCGCCGTCCCTTCGTCCCGTCGCCCTGCCTCCCGCTCGTCCACTCGCAATCCCTGTCTTCCTCTCTCCCCGTCGCCCTTGCCATCCCTCCCGTCTCCCTTCCCGTTTCCTGTCACCTTTCCCTGCTTCCCCCCATCCCCTTCCCTGCTTCCACCCATGCACCTCCCTGCTTCCCCCCATCCCCGTCCCTGCTCCCCCCCATCCCATTCCCTGCTTTCCCCCTTCCCATTCCCTGCCTCCCCCCATCCCATTCCCTGCATTCCCCCATCCCCGTCCCTGCTTCCCCCCCTCCCCTACCCTGCTCCCCCCCTCCCCTTCCATGCTTCCCCCGATCGCCTTCCCAGCTTCCCTCCCCCCTTCCCCTTCCCTGCTTCCCCCCCTCCCCGTCCGTGCTTCCCCCCATCCTCTTCCCTGCTTCCCCCCCTCCCCTTCCCTGCTCCCCCCCTCCACATCCCTGCTTCCACCTACCCCTCTCCCTGCTTCCCCCCCTCCCCTTCCCTGCTTCCCCCAATCCCCTTCCCTACTTTCCCCCAACCCCTTCCCTGCTTCCCCGTGTCCCCTTCCCTGCTTCCCCCCCTCCCCATCCGTGCTTCCCCCCTTCCCCTTACCTGCTCCCCCCCATGCCCTTCCCGGCTTCCACCCATCCCTTTCCCTGCTTCCCCCCATCCCTTTCCCTGCCACCCCCCCTCCCCTTCCCTGCTCCCCCCCTCCCCTTCCATGGTTCCCCCTATCCCCTTTTCCGCTTCCCCCCTTCCCCTTCCCTGCTGCCCCATGTCCCCTTCCCTGCTTCCCCCCCTCCCCTTCCCTGCTATCCCCTCATCTCATTCCCTGCTTTCCCCTCATCTCCTTCCCTGCTTTCCCCTCATCTCATTCCCTGCTTTCCCCTCAACTCATTCCCTGCTTTCCCCTCATCTCATTCCCTGCTTTCCCCTCATCTCATTCCCTGCTTTCCCTTCATCTCATTCCCTGCTTTCCCCTCATCTCATTCCCTGCTTTCCCCTCATCTCATTCCCTGCTTTCCCCTCATCTCATTCCCTGCTTTCCCCTCATCTCATTCCCTGCTTTCCCCTCATCTCATTCCCTGCTTTCCCCTCATCTCCAGGTGTTGTCCACATCCATCAAAACCTGCTTGCCACCCATACCAGGCTTGTGCACTGTCCTTCCTGCCATGCTCATACCCTTGCTCTCCACTCACCCCCTTGTTCTCCCTCGCCCCACTCCCCACCCATCCGCCTGCGCAAAAGCAGATCTAGGACTGGATCCACCACGCCGCAGTGCACACGCAGTATCAGCCTCCTCTCGAGACTGCCTTCAGCAACACCCCTTGCCCCATACCCTCTGCTGACCTCAGCCCTATAAGGCCCTGCACTAGCTGTTGCCGTCGTCCCTGCGTGTAAGGCGGGCTTGGGAGCTGCAACACCCATCAGCCAACAACAAGTCAGGCAACTGTGCACGACATGTCGCTGTGCACGGCACTCTGCAAGCACTTCGGCAGCGCCCTATGGTGGCTACCTTATGTACCTCAATAAGACAGGGTTAGCTGGCTGTTGGAATCAAGTACAATGTATGCTCTTTGTACCGGTATGCCATATCTCAGTATTGAACCATGCTCCTACACATAGAGTTGAAGAAATGTTCGTGTATGCAGCTGTGTAAGATATATCCCCTACCCAACATTCACAACATAGCCAACCCCTAGCTTAGGGTCCAACAGAGCACGGTAATAGCATAGAGGCGTGTCGTTCCACGAGGGCTCCTCCAGCAATCTTACTTATTGTCGGCGCGCTCAATTCACGCATTCTTGTCCCCACCTTACCGAGTATTAGCGTGGCTCCCTAATGTAGCCCGTGCCCCTAGTCGTCAACCGTGCGTTTTATCACTTTTCTCCCTCCCTTGCGCCGTCCTTAGTCTCCTCCCACGCCTGTCCCTCACGATCTATTGAAGGTGTCCTCCGTGCCTGTCTGCTGAACGCGTCACTCCGCCCTTCTATGTGCTCCCGATGTTTCCTTCCTTCTCTCTGTCCATATGCTTTCCCTACTTTGCTTGCCTACTCGTAGCATCCGTCGCTTCTCATCTCGGGTGTCCGTGTTGTCGTTATCGACAGCTGGATGTTGTAATCTCCTGCGATGCATCATAATCGGCAAGCGCGACGCGCTTTTCTGCCGTAGACGCCTGGCTGCTACCATGCACGGTAGGTAGTCGTGCGCTGCGTGAGAATTGTCGAGCTGACATTCTTGTGGTATGCAATTCATGATTGGTGGTCCAATTTTCTCCTACCTACCTTTCGATTGCCTCCTTCGACACCAACACCGAGTTGTATCTCCCTGTTTTCATGTTTTCCCCACCCTGATTGGTTGTGCAGCTATGTTCGTTTGCACGTTCACCATCCATGCACCCTGATTGGTTGCACTCTTTGGCACCTGACGGGTCGCCCTGGTTGTAGGCTGTATGATCAGCCTGGTAGCCCACTCTTTGTGTGGCAAACATGCGTGATGCTTCGCCAGGGTAGTCATCACGATTTATATTTTCGCTACACAGCCAAGTAGTGTTTAAAGCCTCAAATACGAAAACCTCTTTGCCATGCTGACCCCGGGCTTTAAGCGTTGTCCCAGAGTCGCGAGAGTTTTGTACAAACAAGTAGGGTAACCCTGTTTTTTACGAAGAACCATGCTGTACTCGGGCTTTAAAAACGAGGATGCGATCCACGAGCTGGTCCTCGCATCTGCATGTCATGAATCACGAAGCCAACAAGCTACAGTCTACCTCTGAGGAACATTTTCAATAATATACTCGGAACACACACACCCACCCTCCCCCATCCCACAAGCAACATCATTTTACTACACGAAGGAACATCAATCACTAGCCAATCCCCCAATGTCAGGCTCATCAGAGAAAACAGTACTGCCTCCATCCACGACCAATCCACACTGAGCTATATGAAGGCATAGCACCATAGCCACATCATCAAAACCAGCACTTCATCTCGTTCAGCTATCACGTTCGCTACACCTTACGCAGCTGGCCACGCACAGCACCATCGGGGTAACGATTGGTGTGTACATTCCCGTAGTAGCTCGAAGGGCGCTTCACAATCTTGCTCAGAGCCGCCTTCAGCTCCTCCGTGCGCTCGCTCTCGTTCTTGCCCAGGCTGCCCTCGCAGAGCCAGTATTCATCCCCCTTCTTCGCGTACACACACGGCAGGTCCAGAAGCACGTCGCCGGTCTTCCCCTTCTTCCCTGAATGCACGTGCGTCTTGGTGGGCGGCATCTCTCCCTTGAGGCGACGCACAGTCACCTGGAACTTGACCCATGCTGGAGAGCTGTCAGCATCACCATCAGCATCATCCCAGAAATGCAAAGAAGGAAGGAAAAGGGTCAGGTAAAAGCTTAATGAATCACAGCAGAAAATCTCGTGTTGGATTCACTATTTTAAAACTAAAACCACATATACGGCAAAGCTCATGCGATAACAGAATGTACAGTACTTGTTGACTGCTTATCCAGACGCCTCAGCAATAGAGTTTGTGAGTAAAAGAGAGTACCCATAGAATGTGAGGCGTGGGTAGCCCACGCCTTGAGTTTTGAAACATCGCAGAACCTTTCAGGCGCCTAAAGAAGATTGATTATGAGACAATTAAAACTCAGTGAGTGAAAGAGAAAGTACCTGTAGATTGTGAGGCGCAGGTAGCCCACGCCTCGCAGGTCACCCACAGAGGCTTTGGCTGCCTTGGAGTTGTTCTTGGGAACCTCGTTCACTCCCAGGAGCGTTGCTGCAAAGGTGCCTGCAGGGGGGAAGGAACAGAAGGTCAAGGGTGGGATTCTTATCTGTGCAACACAGGTCTGTTGAACTCTGAAGCCACTTCTATGCATCATGGGAATCATAAATCGCTGAAAACTAGGAATCAAACACGAGCATGCAGCAGGAGCAATCAAGACGTTAGCAGCTACGAAAGCAGAAAACAATGGCTGCATGGCTTGCACCAGGGGTGAAAGCGATGAGAGTAGCAGGGGAGATATGGGGGCAGCAGCGGAGATAGCTGCAGGAGTAGCAGCAGCAATAGCAGCAGAGGCAGCGGCGGAGATCGCTGCAGGGGGTAAACAGGAGAGATGACGTCAGGGGTAGCAGAAGAGACTCACAGGAGGCGTTGTCATCTCCCAGGGCAGTTGCCAGCAGCATCGCAGCACAGCCTGCAGCAATTTCAGACCATCCGACCCACCAATCAGGATCCAAGGTCAGTCATTAAAAGTCTTGATCAGAGTGCAGTTTGCAGAAGAAACACAACAATTTGAAGCAGAAACACACTAGCGACTACGTACCGATCAGAAGCAGGACGCGAGAATCAAAGAATGTCATTCTGCTCACGGCGTCTCGCTACTTCGGAATATACCCCTCAGGCTCCTTGAGCTCTCAAAGAACTGGGAGTCGTGAGGCAGGACTAATACGCAGCCGCTGACGTGAACAAAGTGCACGAAAGACGCAGCTGTAGAAGCAGCGAGTAGCAGTGTAATGGAGCAGGTTCGGAATCGTGACCTGGTTGTGAGAGTCATGGGCGATACTATCTACGGTTTTAAACTAGGCAGGCGGGACCCGAGGCGCCGCATTTGTGGGAAACGGCTCTCAGCCGCGAAGACCCAAGGCGCTGACGAAATTCCGCGCCACTGGCGCGAACCTTGCACACGCGACGCTCGCGTCACACAGTCGCAACGGCGCAGGCGTAAACTCAGGAATCTCAGGCGGAATCTCCTGTAAAAGTTGTTTGCAAGAAGGTCAGGAATCAGGACGTGTCTCGGGGCTGGGAGTACCGAGTCGCGGCTTGTCGGCGCGGCTGCATTGGATCGCGTCATCCGTCGCATTCGCCAGATTTTGATTCGCCAGATATCCAGGCTCAATCTTCTGACTAATCGCCAGATATGGTCCCATTACTTGTGAACCTGGGAGAACCACTTGAGTTTATCAGACCAGGTTCTACCGTCCAAGCAACTTGCTTCGTTGAATCTTTCACTGTATCTACACGAGTTTGTCCGCCAGGCGAAAGCGCAGAAGCGGCGGTTCCGGCGGCGAGCAAGCAAAGCGCAGGGTGCAGCTCACTATTGAATCGAAAAGGAGCACATCGCAGAGTCTGATTCGAGGAGCCGCGATGGCCTTAAAAATGCGTGCTGAAGCGGGAACATCAGGCGAGGTGTATAATGGCTGCGATGTCGGCACCGTCCGTGCATCACGGGTGGGAGGAGGAAGGGGAGGATAAGGGCGGGAAAAAGGAAGGGGGGGAGAGGACCGCCTCGACATCATCGATGCCAGCCACGTGGCACCTATTGAAGACACTGCAGGGGCGGGAGGGAGTGCTTCGAGCTTGCTGGTTGGGGACAACATCACCTACATGCGAATTTCGAATTTCGCAAATGCGATTTGCGAATGTATGCAACTGACGGCTGTCAGTAAAGGCGCCGATGAACCGTTAATCAGAAAAAACATAAACCCCGTCCGGATGACATGCGATTGGGGAGCCTCAACCCTGAACACGGGTAACCGTGGTTTTTCCGCCGGGCCGACAGTTTTCCTCCCATTCCGTCAAATGCATACAATCGCAAACCAGCACTGGCGAAATCTGAATGCCAGTGGAATTGACCGTTGCTGGTTGTTCTTGAGCTTAGATGGCGTTCCTGAGATGGGGCCCCATCCGAACTTCCCCCAACAACAGTGCACAGAACACGTGCCTAAGGGATGGCAGCAACGGGGGGAGTGAATCTGGACGTCGCATGAGTTGGGCGGTGAGGGTCGTGCGATTTTTGCGCATGGCAACTTCCCCTGACGCCCAACGTCAGAACCACTGACGTTGAATACAGAAGCATGTGATTGGTTGGAAGTTTTCTCACTTGTTTTTCGCACAATGAGACTGACATCGCATGGCACGTGTGGTGGGTGTGCAAAATACCCAGGACTGCCACGCTGGACCAATAGTGCAGCACTCCGAACTTCCCCCATCTCAGGAACGCCATCTTATGCTGGCTTGTGGGGGGGGCGGGGGAGGTGGGGGGGTGGTTTGACTTGTACACATGATGCCTGATTGAGCCCCTCCCGGTTGCCTTATGAAGGGGGCGTATAACCTGTATTGTGCACTTCGCATAAGTTGAGTCAATTCGCAGCTAGCTAAAAAGGACTTGCAGGTGCTTATATAAAGGATCTGTAACCTTATCCGTTGACGTTTTGACTTCAGTCTCTTCATTTTGACTTCGGTCTGTTCGTTACTGTTAGTTCATTACCACGCGACGCGCTTGTAACGTGGGTGCAACAGGCTGGGGAAAACCCTTCGGGTGCAGCGTTTCCATCCGGTGCAGAGCAAATTCTCGTGCATGGGGTGGGCATCACCGGTACATCACACAGGCCCTGTTCGACAGGCCGCGGAATCCTCGCAACTCTTTCGTTTTCACATTTTTTCCCACGGTCAGCCCGAAAAATGGGCGAATGGGGCTTTAATCCCCCCTAACATGTTGCCAGAGTGTTAGCCTGTCGAACGCACCCAATAATTGACCCCTTCGC